CTCCGCCCTCCGGTCCTCCCTGCGCTCGGCTCCCGGCTCCGGCCCCCTCCCTCCTCCCTCTTCCCGCCTCCCGCCGCCTCCCGGGAGGACTACGCGCCCGCGCCCGACCCGGGACTGGAACGGAAACAGTCGCGGCGCAACCGGTTCTCCTCTATCTTCGCTTTCAAATCCTATCCCATGATGGTGACAAGGACCCTTCCTCAGAGACAGCAGCTCCAGATCCCGCCCCTATTTGACCTGACCAACCTGGGTCACCTAGTCAGGTGCCCGGGAATGCTGGGCGGCCAGAGGGGGCCCAGGTCATCCTGGAAAGAAACTGTGAGGAGCCTCAGGAAGGGGGCGCCCCGCAGATGAGGGTCCACCTGCGGGTTTCTGGCATGGCCCAGAAAAGTGCCTCGGGGGAAGAGCCCTAAGGCCATAGTCACAGGGCTCCGTTCAGCCTGAGGCCAGCAAACACCCAAAGTCTCCCGCAACTGCTTGAAGTGGGCTGCTATACTGGGGGAGGGTCTTCCTCTTTCCAAGATCCAGTGAGACAGACTGGAGAGACCACTGCAGGCTTGGGAACCCAATGGGCCCCCCCCCTTCTTCTCTGTCCTTCTCTTGGAGTCCCCACAGACCAGGAGCGTCATAGGGTTGAGTTGGAGGCCTGCTGACGTGGAGGACAAGCGATCCTAACCTGGGGAGAGGGTCTAGACGACAGAGGTTAGCTTCCAGCTGGAAGCATCGAGTAAAAGCTTGGCCCTGACCCTAACCAGCCTCAGGAGAAAAGTGGTCTAAATAGTTTGTGCTCATGCGATGCCTCATTCCTCTCTCAACCACAAGGGCTCCAGGCCAGACCACTAGACTCAGGCAAGGTTCCTATCACTGGTACCCTGCTTTCAGATAACCCTAGCTCTGTGGAAGGTGTGTCCTGTTCAGGAGCAGCCTGGGGGACCCAACCAGAGAGGTAGACCTGGGATATGGGACAACAGAGACGAGCCGAGCTGGCAGTGTATTCACCTGACAATTCCAGGGTTTTTGTGAGAATACAGTCCATCGTTTTATTCGGGTATTTATACAGTCCAGCCAGTGAGGGATAAAGGCTCACACAACTACAGACACATACGGCGAGGAGAAGTGCTGTAAAACCTCTCCCCTTTTTCTTCTTTTTTTTTTGGTTAAGGGGGAAATCTGTATAATCAACATCCTACTTATGTAAAAGTGGGATAGTGAAAAAACTTGATTGTTTTTAATATGGCATTTATGTATATCTTCTCATTTAATATGTACAATTTATTTGGTAATCCTACTGCACAGTGGCAGTATACCTATAAGTAAAAACAAAATCAAGAAGTATTCACAAAGGGAGCGCTGAGGTGGCGAGGGTCCATGGAGCCCGAGTTGGTGGAAGCAGACTCCGTGCAGAAAGGCCTGGCTTTGGGGCCTCCAGTCAGTAGAAGCAGACAGTGTGCAGGAAGGCCCGGCCACTCTTCTCCTCGAACTCCTGTAGCAGCTCGTCAATCTCGTTCTCCATGTCCTCCGTGTGCTGGATCTGCAGATGGCAGGGCTGGTGACTGAGCGCTCACACCAACCCTGATGCCCAGATGGGGGTCCTGGGAGACCAACCCTGATGCCCAGATGGGGGTCCTGGGAGTCCCGGGCCCTACTCTAGTGGAGGGAAGAGGAGTGCAAGATGGTGCACAGGTCCCGGCAGAGCCTCCAGGGCAAGGGTGCGGTGGGCCTCACATATCAGGCCACAGCAAGAACTGGCCCACCCCATGGACAGGTGAGCCAGGGGACAGCCAGCCAAATGCAGACCCAGTGCCAGCCTCCCCATCTAACTTCATGAGACTGAGGGGACCTTGGACGTGAGTCAGAGTGTGGCTCACTCTAGGAACCCCCTCATTTATTGTTTGGAAGGACCTGAAGGTCAGCTATGATAATCTCCTCTGAGCCCTCATGCTTGAGTAAGGGGAAGAGGGGCGCCAGGACTGCCTTAGGGATAGGCCTGCATCTTGGGAGGCTTGGCCTCACCGGCAGCATAAGGAGGGGGGAAGGGGTGTGGGCACACAGGTAGGTACTCACACACTGGCACAGCTCACAGATGAGGAAGGCCCCCAGGGTGGCCTCCTCGTGGTTGTCCTGGATATCCACATTGATGACATGCACTGGCTGACAGGTCTCCTGTTCCCGGGAATTCAAATCTGACGGGACAGAGGCCAGAGGTTGAGGGGGAGGCAGAAGGCTCAGAAGCAGCCCCCTCCCATTTGTCGTTTTCTCTAGGTATGGAATCTGGCTTTTAGGACCACAGCACCCAGATGTCAAATGAGAACCCGACTCTCCCCAAACCTCAGGGGAACATTAGGCTCAGCGAGAGCCTTAAAGGAGAATGATGGATATTCAGTGGTGTCTCATTCTCAGCCTCTCATTTCAGGCAGTCCTAAATCAGGGAGGGCTTCGGGCCTCAACCACAAACAGATGAACCAGCCTTGGCCTGGCCAGGCTACTGCCTTCCAAAAGATCCGACCCACAGCCTCAAAACAGTGGCAAGGTTGGCCTGTGGCTGTGTAGAGACCACAAGGCCCTTCTGCTGCCCACAGGAGACCCCAGGCTGCTTCTGGAAGCCCTCGAGGGCCTGGCAGGCATCCTGGGAGTGTGAGGTCCTGGGAGCATATTAGTTGCTGATGCTCCCTGAATCCTGGTACCTGCTGAACATTCCCTTCCAGAGACCTTGACATGTGGTAGACACTGCACCCCCTGCCTACCTTCTACAACTTGGTCGTAGACTCGCTCCTCACAGGTGAGGATCAGATCAAACAGATCTTTGCAGTTCTGGAACCTCTCTGGTCGAGGCTTGATTCTCTTATTCCTGTCCAACATGTGTAAGATTCCATTCTGTGTGTAGCTGAGCAGTAGTGTCAAGGATCTTTAGATGAAAGCTTGGATCTGATGTATGAAGAGAGCCTTCAGCAATGACTGACCCCAGTCCTCCCACCTCTCTCACTGTGGTCAGCCCAGGGCTCCCCACCCCACCTGACACACTTACTGGACAAGGGGATTGGTCCATGAGTGGGGACAGAAAGGCAAGAGAGGCATTGGGGTGGTTCTGTGGAGGGGTCAGTCTCCAGATTCACCCCCAACCAGTGCTGCCAAGCTTGACAGCCTCGGATCGCAGGAAGCAGAGACTTGGCTCGAGTTTCTCCTGGGTCCTTGTCTTTCCTGTACTGACAGCTGACTAAACCACCAGTCCCCATGAGAGCAGATCCAAGTGTAACCAAGTTAGAGGAGAAACAAAAACCCCTGAATGAAAGGCCTGCAAACTGGCCATCAGTGATGTAAAATCAAGCAGGCAGAAGTGTCCCCCGAGGGGCTCCCTGCCTACAGGGTGGGTGGTCAGGCCAGGCCCTGCTCAGAGGTGGGGAGGATGGCCACACACAAGGCCAAGGCAGTGTGCTCTGGGCTGAGGGGTGATCCTGACGTCAGGGAGCCCTGAACTGGAAGAGTTCAAGGCAGGGCCACAGGGCTCATCAAATCCCAAGGGTCATGTCCAAACTTGGGGTTTCCAGGGAGGAATTTGCCTCCTCTGAAAGGACCCTCAGAAATCAAGTCCCCACATCAGGAGTCCTGAAGTCTGATGGAGGCTGCCAGCTCATTCTGGATGGCAGGCACATCATTCTCATGAGCCTGCCTTAGAAACGCACACATTTCTCTAGGAATTCTGAGAGGTACATGGAATATCCTTCAACCAAGTTGTACGTTAGGATTTCCCGAATCATAAAAACAGCTTTTTGAATAAACCTAAGTAAAAACAAAACAAAAAACCACCCAAAAAACAAACGATCACCACAACCCCAAACTATAGAATAAGGGAGCTCTGGCAACCTAATGGTAAGAATCTGAGCTGCAATCCTGAAGTCATGAACTTGGACTCAGCGACTCTGCAGGAAGATGGCAATCTCCTTCTGTGTGATTAACTGCCTCTGAAAACCCAGGGGTCAAATATGAGTCGGTTCTGAGTCGATGGTCCACAACAAAAGTGTAAAAGGATAAATGTAAACATCCAGTGCCAGAGCTTGAACTTGAAGGCCCATGGTGGTGGGCCCAGGCTTTTCTAGGGTGGGACACGAATGGTGGACATACGATGTATTTGTCAAAACCAATGGGACGGTGCACCACTGAGCTCCAACACAGGTTTTGGGATTTGCTGTTGTTGTATACAGTCATGTCAGAACAGACTCACAGCTGAACCTTCGGCAGGTTTTCATCCTCTCCCAGAGGTGGTAGATTCGAACCATGTGCCCTTCAGGACTGCAGCATAGTTTCTTACCACTAGAGCTTCCTGAGTCAGTTTTAAAAAGGGAGTTATGGAGGCTAGTGCTTAAGGTGCTTTGTTTGCAACCCGAAGGAACAGGGTTTGAATCCACAAGCTGCTCCATGGGAGGCTGGACCATCTCCTTCTGTATGATTCACAGGCTCTGAAACCCCGATGGAGCATGAGCTATGGGTTCATTTCAATTTGTACGCAACAAAGAAATTCGGATGTTGGTTCTTCATATCTCACAACCGCACTGAGAGAGCTAAGATGTGCTGGGGCGAGGGAGGCACATGGGGACTCTGCTTTCTGTACAATTTTCCTGTAAACCAAAAAATGTTCCTCCTCCCAAAAATCTATTAAAACAAAAAACATGACACCTGACAATCAGTCGGCTTGGTGCTTTTGGCTCATCCTTTCAGGCAAGAACAACGAACCATCACATCTGGCCCAGCAGCCACCACACACAACTGTCCCAGGCCTCATGTGCTGTTGTGGCGTGATGATGCTGGCCTGGCCTGATTTCAGAGCTCAGACCTGGAGTCCAGCAGAAAGGACTCAAGGACACTCTACACCACGGCCTGATGCCAGCTGCAGAGGAAGAACAGGATTCTGGGTAATCAAGGATCTTCATCAGTCCCACAGCCACCTCTCAAGTGTCACCAGTGCCTTGGTTCACCTTGCCAGGGGAGATCTGGCTGGGAGCTGTGGCATTTCCCAGAGAGTTTAGATGAGGGGGGTACACCTAGGGCTGAGAGGGTGTGAAAAGTGACAGCGACCCACAGGTAGTTAGCCAGCACTGGCTTCACATCAAGGCCTGAAAACGCTTCAAGTCCCCTCAAATGTCAGCTCCTCTCCTTAAGCTCTAGTTATTTATGTATATGAGGTAACTGGAACAAAGTTAAGATTCATGTAATTAAGGAGTCTAGTTTCAAGATCAAAGAGAAAGCCCAACTGCTGTAACAGGCAAGAATGGCCCTTTGGAACTGTTTTCTGACAAAATCCCCTAAAGATGGAAGATGTAGGCCGAGCACCTAGGAGGAACAGGACTCAAAGTCCCACTGGACCCTGTTCTGGGGTGCAGAATCTGAAACCCAGGGCACATGTGAACTGCCCTCAGGTCCAAGCTGGATGAAGAACACCAGGTCAGAAGGGCGGGTGTGGAGGCACCAGAGGAACTGTCAGGCTGCAGCTAAGACAACTGCACTAGAGCAGGGCTGACAATAACCTGCTGCAGAAGATCAGGTTGAGCAGAGCTGTAACCAAGAGTGAGGGTCCATGCGCTTAAGGAGAGCAGCAGCCAGGCTGCCCAGAGTCAGGGAGGACGCACTGCTGGATGCTGCACATGGGCCTTGTCCTCCCAGCAGGTGCCCAGGAGAGGGCAGTACCTATGCTGCTTCTCACTGCATCAGGGACAGGGTGAGGATTTGAAATTCCCAGACACAAGATCACCTTCCGAGTGGACCAGCTGTCCACTGGGGACTCCTCCTTCCCTCCCTCCTAGACGTAAGGAAGGAGATAGGAACACCTGAGTAATGTGGGGTCTGCAGGTGAAGATGAGGGCATGCTGCAGGTGCAAGAGCTGGAGAAAAAGGGCTGCAGCTGGTCTTAAGATCAAGGGCAGGTGCCTGAAGGGCTGTGGGAGACCACTCAGGAACACTGCAACTCTCAAAGAGGAGACTGAGTGGTGGTGGAGGCTAGACTAAGCCAGTAATCCAGTGGTTTTATCAAGAGCACAGTTCTGCCCCAACACTTCACCCATAGAGCCACCAAGAAATGAAATGTGCCCCTAACCTGCTGATAAAGACGGGGGGTCCTGCTAACCCTTCCCACCTCTGGGGGTTCTATATGGGGCATACTGACAGGGACCTCTTTTGGCCCTCACTACCCAACTACACCACCCCCCTCTCCTAGGGACCCTGGGTCACTAAGGAAGGACAAGCACACCCCTAAAAGATGAGCTTCAGACACACAGGAGACTGACTTGGGGGTACTGAGTTTAATTAAAACTCCTGCAAAAAGGCATGAAGAATGCAGGGATGCTGGTTCTGAAGGGTCAGTCCACCAAGGCCCTCACTGGGCCAGTGCTAGGGAGGGGCCCAGGGAAGCCCGGAGCTCCCCTGTGCCCACAGGAGGCTCAGAGTTCCTCTCCTAGCAACTGTGAGAGTCAGAACGCACCACATTCTGGTCACTCGCCCTCACCTATGACACTGTGCTGCGAGGCAGGGCTTGCTGGCCACCCTGCAGGTGCACCTGGTCCTCAGAGTCCATTAATTGGGAGACTGAAACTTACTACAGTGCCTCAGTAATGTCTTGTTCAACTAGATACTACTCTGACTGGCAGTCAGGCCAAGGAAGGGCTCTTCGGAATGGACTCATCTGATGCTGGCTGAGAGGACACCACCAGCAGCTTGGTATGTATAAATGCCAGGGCTTGCTGGCTCCACAGCACTGAATGTGGCACCGCTACCAGCCTGAATCCGGCCAGTCTAGTCGTGTGCTGTCTATGGCTGGTTTGCGGGTGCTGTTGGCATGCAGCCTGTCTCCAGCCTATGACTCCTGCTGGGCAAAGGCAGGTCCAACCCGGAGGTGCAGCCACCAGCCCCCAGGTTTGAACGTCTTCTCAAACTCCTATAATCCATCCAGTCTTCTAACTACAAGTTTCCAGTTACAAGACATAAGGCAAGAATTGTTAAGTGGAGAGGAGCCTCAGAGTTCCACTCACTCAGACATGTTCCCATGTGTGCTCCACTGCCACTAGCAGTGCTGACAAGTGCACCTCTAGAGAGGCCACAGGACTCCTCCCTCAACAGGGCTGGGCACTGCCTACAAGGCAGAGATCAGAGGACACATCCCTCACAGCTCTGCTCAGTCTTCCCCCTCAAGGCACAAGTGCCAAGATGAGACCAATGACCCGCCTAATTAGAGGTTACCCACTATGAAGGGGCCACGACTGGCCTCAAACCCCCTCCTGCCTCATGATGCCTAACAGGGCACCATGACTAAGCCAGGAAAGGACAGGTGGCCCTGCCAGTGCCTCCTCTGGATGCTGCTCCTGGACACAGGCTGTGTTCTCCCCACAGTCACCTCTCAGGGCGCAGTTACTCCTTCCTGGAACATAGGGACACCACTGCCTTTATTGTTCTCTCCACGTTACAGGTCTATGTCCACATCAGGCACCACCTGGGGGATATACCAGGGTGACAGGGCTGTGCTCTGGGCCCCAGGTATCTGTGAGGCAACTTCACCCTCCACCCAGCCTCAGGCCTGTGGGATGGTACACAGGCAGGAGTAGCCCCAACTTCCATTCCTAACCTGCTGGGCCAATATTGACATGGTTTAAAGGCCAACACCAACATTCTTATTTTAAATATCAAAAGGCCTCCATGACTCATAGCACTGGGGATCACTTGGGAGAATGTTATGGGGTCTGCAAGTGCTGGAGGGCAGGGGCTATGTGCCTGCATGCTAGAAGGGCTCTAACATGCTGTGAGGGGCCCCCTAAATGCTGCTGGGTTATCTTTTGGGGCCCTGTATTTTGAGGGGGTCCCTCAGGCACTTGCATGTCCAGGGCTCAGAGACACCTCCCGGTA